GTACACATGTATTCTACTATGGCTTAGGAGCATATGGCTCAAATTTGATAAAAAAACTTAAAATAAATGTCGAATTTAAGAAATAAGAAGATTATGAAAAATTAAAGGAATAAATTAAAAAATTAAAAATTATTATCAAAAAGATGAATTAAAAGTACACGTGTATTCTATTATGGTTTAGGAGCATGTAGTTCAAATTTTGTAAAAATAGACTTAAAATGAAGAGGAATTGAAGAAATAATGAAATTAGGGACTAAATCGTAAAACTATCAAAATACTGTGTCAAATTTTTGGTTTTTCAAGTAACTCAAAAATTCAAAATTTCAACTCGACTTAAACTTGAAAACCAAATTTATAATTCAAATTAACTCGAATAACTCAAAATAAAAAAAAAACAGTTTTTGAGTTGAGTCGAATTTTACTCCCTCTTATATATTCTTATCTAAACTCTAAATAATTTGGAAGATTAACGGGGCACCAAAAGAGATACCAAAGAGAAAGAAGAGGTAGACAAGTTCTATTCTATTGAAAGATAATGTTATAAATCATTTAATTATCTTTTATTCCTATTTTGATTATTAAAATTTAATATTTTTTTATTTAATAGCTCAGTTTTTAACCATGTTTATATGGTACTAATTAGCTTATTTGAGTTTGCTTTTCATTAGATATGAATATTTGATCGAGTCTAGTTTAAATTTTTTGAATTAGTTGAGTTTATGAGTCTTATTTTATAAGTTAAATTATGTTTATACTCTTGAGATTGTTGTTATCCCTTGAGGTATTGGATTCGAGCACCGCGAATGTATGGGTATGAATGTTCATTGTGAAATGATTGAGAGTTTTTGAATAAATATCACCTTATGTTTATCTCGTAATTATAAAAAATATTGAGTCGAATCAAGTTCTTCAAGTTAAGAGATTGGCTCGAATTTCAAAATCATTCCACTAGTGACTAATTTTTTTTGAATTATTAGAGTTGTATTTTATACTTACATTTTATTTGAAATTTGTAGAGAGTCCCAAAAGATGAATCTTCCATCATATCATCCTAAACCCGAAACCGATTGAATCTTTCATCAAGTGATTACTTTTAAACCAATCTTTTCTTTTCTCAAACCAAAAGACCCAAGCGTTTCATATCCTCTCGCTTTCGCTCGAGACCATCGTTCCTCTCCCATTGGTCTAGCTCTATTTCATACCCTCTCGATCGGACTGAACATGAACCCATTCTTAGATGGATCAGTGCATTTGGTGGTGATAAACTTATCATGCTTAGAAGGTGAATGTAATCTTATATAACGATAATGCTTGAGCTACCTTCGTTCCTTTCCTCTACTCTAGCTTGCATCCGGTGCAAAATACTCTTTGCTACTTGCTTGACAGTGACAGAATCGTCGAATTGACTATAAAAATTCCTTTTTCTCCTTGTTCTTATTTGTCTAGATAAGATTTAACCAAATGGCCATACTAGACCACATTGTATACTCCTTGAGACTCTTGTTGTCTTCATGTGCAATTGTAGTGTTAGATACTAGACTTCATTTCAATGAAATGCTATTTTTATTTTGTTCAGGAATGGGTTGGCCATGGTCGATCTATCTGGGTGATGCCTATTGTAACATCCCAAATCAGGGTCGGTGACTAAATTGCAATTTTTGAAAACTATGTGCTCAATTTCAAAATAAGTTAAAAGTTCATAGATTTAATTGAAGAAATTTGATGTTGGATTTAATAGTAAAGTTGGAAAGTAACAACGATATTGTGGTCTTTTCTAAGAGAAGATTTTTATTCTCTCTTTTTAAGGGATATAAAAACGTGAGAAATGAGGAAATGTATCTAGAGTTTTCTTCTTCAGTTTCTTCTTCTCCCCATAAGCCTCAGTTAAAGGTGAATTTAATTTCAGCTGTTTAATTCTTGGATTTATAAGTTGATTTTGATTCTTTGAGTATTATATAAGCTTAAGAAAAGCTTATATAAGCTTAAGGAAAGCTTATATAAGCTTTAAACATCAAGAATAGAGAATTAAAAAGGAAATTATATAAAGGGTGTAGAAATGAACTTTTGTTATAGAAAGGTTTTTGAAGTTTTAAAGATGGATTTGACTTGTCAAATGGTTAATTAAGAAGTTAGAAGTGATAGAATTGAATTTAGAACACATGGAAATTTTGATGAAATTCTTTTATTCAAGAATTATGGTGAATTATGAGAGATGGTGAAGTGTTATAGTGTTATAAGAAGGTTTACATATGTATAGATAAGTTTTAAGGTATAAGGAGGGGTTAATAAGTAGAATTTGAGGACAAAGTAAGAATTTTCGGGCTCAAAATGTAATTTCTGGGTTGTGTGCATCGATGCATCTTCAATGTGTATCGATGTACTCTCAAATAAATGAACATCGAATGCAAGTAGTGCATCGATGCATAAGGAGTGCATCGATGCACCCCCTTAAAATGAAAACATCGAAGGTGATTGGTGTATCGATGCATGGGTAGTGCATCGATGCACATGTTAAAGAATGCATCGATGCACTGTAGAATGTATCGATGCACTTCAAAGGGGAAACAGAAATATACCTTTCTTTTGGTATAAGAAATGATAGATTAGAGTATATCAATTGGATATTGATATGTATCAATGTGTGATTGTGTAGATATCGACTGAGAGCAAGTTCCGTAATGATTGAAAGGTTAGAATTGATCAAGAAGAGAAAGAAAGCCATAGGAGTAATTGATAGCAAGTGAGGCCAAGGTGAGTGCATCTTATTACATCGAATTATATGGAAATTGACTTGTGATAAGTCTATTTCCGATAGTATAGTGCATGAAGTATGTGATTAATATGAAATGTATACATACTTGATTGTATGAGTGTATATATATATATGCTATGTGAATATATGGTTATGGAATAAAGTATATAATAATACAATGTTATTTGAGTTACTTAACAATGAGTTATAAGATTACATGCATATGTAACATAAATTATAAGATAAGAAAATATGTGCTTACATGTTTTTGCGGATATATATATATATATATATGAATAAGATATGATATATGTTTATGTAAAACCATGCAAAGTGATATGAGAAGTGAACTACACGATTATGTGATCATATGAGAATGAGATAAAGAGTCATGAGATATATGAAAGAGAAAGTATAGGTGATACGTGAAAGTGAATCATATGATTATACGTATATGGATGACATGAATTGTATGTATGTACGATTATATGTGACTACATGTATATGTGAAAGAAGCTATGAGATTATATGAAATGTGATATGAAAGTGTATATATGAAATGATATAAAGATAAATGCCCATGGTATATGATACGAGAGCGATAGGTATAGTTGGCATGCCAAGATTCGAGGGTTTACCTATGTTCTACGGAACATATGGACAGAATTACCTATGTCTTTCGAGACATATGGACAGTATATCTATGTTCTAAGGAACATATGGACAGTTGTCGAGGTTCTTTATGACCTCTGGATAGGTCATTCGAGACAAAATTTCATAGCCCTTAGTGGGACCTCATACGAGCTGTGGTGACAGCATAGTGCACAACCTCTATAGACTCACATATCTACAGTTCTCACAGGTGTACATAGACTCACATATGTATTTTGTGATATGAATTATATGATATGATATGTGTGTGTTATTATTGTATATGTTATAAGATATAGGATATGAACATAATGGATCATATAAACAAGAGAATATAAATATGAATAGTGATAATATGATAATGATAGGAAAGAAGATAATTATGTATGTGTGTATTTGATATATATATGAATGGATATATGTTTGGGTATGATGTGATAGCAGTAATTGTTCATGCATGATTACAAGTTATAGTTTACATTATATGTTTATTGCCTCACTAATTCATACACTTAGCGTGTGATTGTTTCACACGTAGGTTACAGAAGCGAGAAGAGAAGTGAAGAAGAGCAAGACAGGTCAGCATCTCCCTTACAAAATTTCAGATCAGAAAATTGATGATTTAAATGTGTTTGGTTAATTTGAATATAGTTGGCATGTACTAATTGATTGAGTTGAATATGCTCTGATCGATTTTAGGTAATTTCGTCAATTATGTAAATAAACCGCTTTTATTTTAATGAAAGTTTTAAATTTTCTTTGAATTTTGTCAAGAATCAAAGTTTGAAAAGTCAATGTGACACCTCAAACTCGTATTCGGGTCGAGTGCGGGTTGGGGGTGTTACACCTATACTACAACAAAAACAGAGTTTTAGCGGTGTTTTTTGAGTCCTATAGCGGCATTTTTAAGCGTCGCTAAAAGCACTTGTTGCGATACAAAAAACGTCGCAAGAAGCACTAGCCATACTTGCGCCGCAATAGGTAAAAATCTATAGCAGCGTTTTTGGAGCAAACGCCGCAAAATGTCGATATCTATAGCGGCGTTTCTGATCAAACACCGCAAAAGGTCACTATTTATAGCGGCATTTTTGGAACAAATGCCGCAAAAGGTCAGATCTATAGCAACGTTTTTGGATACAAACGCCACTAATTACCATTCTTTGGCTAAGATTAATAGATTTTGCATATCATGTAGCTTTATTTAATTAACAACAACCATACATTTTAATTAAGACACAAGTTATGCAGAAAATACTTAACAACAAAATAAATTAAAATTTATAAACATTCAAATTAAATGTAATGTACTTTTGCATTGTTCTCTAGAATTTAGTCTAGGTTCTTTCACTTTCAATTAAAAAATATTGTTCACTAGAATTTATTAATTCTTGGTTGCGGTCCACTTTTCCCTCATTAAATGCTTATAAGCGAATCAACTCTAAAGTTATAGTCAAGGATTCAAATAGCGGTCCACTATCGGAATATGATTCTTCTAAACCCACAAGTTTTTTTCGCAATATTTTGTCGTATATCATCTTAGTGACCAATGCATGGCAATACAAATATGAAATATCTTATCCTTTTCGAGTGTACAGTTATGAGCTTGGGAGGATCTGCAACAGAACAGGATGGGGTATTAGTCGGCAAATTATTCGGATCAGTTGGCATGATATGGAAAGCTGATGAGAAGCTGTTTGATGCTGTCACTGGCCTTAGGTATCAGTAACCTATACCATGCCTCAGTCCCTGCATGCTATTATTCGATGCAAACCCTTTCCGTTTTTTGTTTTCTTTTGCAGGTTCTTGGAGCAGCTTCCATGGCTGTTCAGTCCGGGAAGCACCCCGGTCAGCTGAAAGACGATGTTACATCTCCCGGTGGGACGACAATCGCCGGCATCCACGAGTTAGAGAAGAACGGCTTCCGGGGAACATTGATGAACGCGGTAGTGGCTGCCGCTAAGCGTAGCCAAGAACTTTCCCAAGAGTTGAAAAGACTCCGACCTATCAAAATAAAGCACGTCTCATGAAAGTCATCCATATAAAGCACGTCATGAAAGTCATCCATAAATGGTAGTTGTTTAGGAGCTGAGTTGTAAATGTGGCCGGGAGCAACATCGGTAAACTGTTAACCACCACATGCGGTGGTGGGCTCTCTAAATTCGGATAGTCGGTTTAGTTCTAAAGGCTGAACAGTATATAACTATCTATACCTATTAATATCCATTGACATACAAGATTGCATTTATCCAAGAAATTATTAATCATACTATTAAGGGTAAATTATGTGTTTAGTACCTAAACTATTAATTTTAATCCGTTTTAGTACTTAAACTTTTAATTTTTTCAAAACCATACCAAAAGTTTAGTTTTTTATTTCATTTTAGGTTCAAAACTTTTAAATTACCCGATAAATATAGTTTAGGTTTTAAATGCATTAAGTTTTTAATTTCGGGTACTAAAATGAAATAAAAATTAAACTTTAGATATGATTTTAAATTTTTTAAAATTTTAGGTATTTAAATGAATCAAATTTGATAGTTTAGGTACAAAATATATAGTTTACTCTATTATTAAACATGCTTGATATGTCCATATTGTCTTAAAAATAATTATACATTACATTAATCAAGATAACATGACAACTTATTATAATGATACTTGAATATGTTGATTCACTTTAGTGGTTAAAAAGAGTATTATTGTCTTTTAAGGTATTAAATTTGAATAGATGCGTCTGTAAGGTATGTGTTCGTTGTCATATATTAATTATGAGCAAATATTATCTTGTAATCAATAGGGGTGCTTAATGAGTTGAACTGCTCGTGAGCAGTTCGAATTTGACTTTGTCAAAATTCAGTAAAAACCTGATTTGGGTTGATTTGACTCGAGACTTTAACGAGTTGAATCAAGCAAAGCCTAATTTGACTCGATAAGTTCGCGAGCAGTTCTTTAATTTTTTTATAGTATTTTAGTAGTTATCTTAAAAAATGATTTCATTAAAAAATATTAAGTTGCTGATAAATAATAAAAAAGATGACAAATTATTAATCTATTAATTTTCTAATAAACAAAAATAAAATATTACATTTTTAATTAATATTTTAAGACATTCAAAAATCAAATCTTATAGATTATTTTAATGTATTTTTGGATTATTATTTTGAAGTTTAGACTTTAAAATTGTTTCAAGCACCGTTTTGATAATTTTTTGTTAAATTTATTGATTTACGTTTATATTAAGCTCTATACAGTACTAATAGATTTTTCCTATACTTAAAAAGATGAGATAAAAATTTCAATGAGCTTAACGAGCTTAATGAACAACGAGTTTAACGAGTCGAGTCAAACAAAAAGTTTTTCTAACGAGCACGAGTCAAGTGAAAATTCAACGAGCTAAACGAGTAACGAGTCGAGCAATAAAATTGTGGGTAAACTACACATATAGTATCTAAACTATCGGTTTTGATATGTTTTAATACCTAAACTTTCAATTTTTCAAAATTATACCTAAAATTCAATTTTTATTTCATTTTAGTGTATTGCTGTTAAAAACAAAATATTTTTAATACTTAAACTATCAGTTTCGATCAGTTTTAGTACATAAACTTTCAATGTTTTTCAAAAGTTAACGTTAAAACTAAATTTTAGGTATGGTTTTGAACAGAAATTAAAAGTTTAGGTACTAAAACAGATTAAAACTAATAATTTAGCTACTAAATGCGTAACTTATCCTAAATTTTTTAACGAGCATGAGTGAAATATTTCTCAACTCGAGATCGACTAACTCAATAAGTACCCCTATATTAATCACTCTAACCTGTTAAAAAAACTCTTAAATTATCCTATTTAATATTTATTATTTGAATTATCATATACAAAAATTTAAATGCTTAAATATATCATATTTCATGTTTTTTCTTTTTATAAATTTATCGTAAATATAATTAAAAAACTCGAGATTCTTTAACAATAAAATTCACGTGCGATATTTTTCCAAGGAAATCCTAATCGAAACTTCCTATAAATACCCCTTTCGTATCCTTCATCTTTACCCTCTTGATTTCTTCGTTTCCTTCGTGTATCCGCTGTAAATGAGACGAAGCAGATCGCAAATTACTCGAGATTGACTCGATCAAGGCTCGATAAATACTCGGATTGAATGGACTCGAGTCGAGCTCGACTCGAATTCTTAACGAGTTGAAACGAACTACTTGATACTCGACTCAAAAAATTCGTGAGCAGCTCGAAACTATAATATATTAAGATTTTATTTTTTTTTAAAAATAAATTATTAATAATATTAACATTTGCGTTGATTATTTTTAAAAAATACAGTAAGATTTTCATGTATTTAAAATTCATGTTCGAGTTTGAGACTTCAATCTAGTTAACTTTAATATTTTTTTTTCATTTCGAGCATTTTCGAGCTGCTCACGAGCTTCAGTTCAGGATTTCGAGTTCGAGTCGAGTTTAAAAATTTTAAGCTCGCGAGTTTTCGAGTCGAGTCGAGCTCCATTTCAGAGTTTTCGAGTCGAGTCGAACTCAGCAATAGTCGAATTCGACTCGGCTCGTTTACACCCCTAGTGTATCCAATGTCAACCGCCGTTCTCCGCACCGAAGGCTGTCTCCGCCATCGGTTTCGCCGTGAAACCCTCGACTTGGACCGTCCAATTAGATACCTTAACCTTAGGATGATTAAGGCGAAAAACCGAAAGGGGAGTCCCCGTCTAGGGTTTCAGTCGAATAACAGAAGGCGATCCGAATCCATGGTGGCGAAATCGCCGGGTAAGAATCTAGTGATGGGCCAGGTCAAGATCTTGTAAAGCGGGGAGACCTTGACCACCTAGGCGGAGAAGAAGACCGATCTCGGAAGGATCAATAGATCGAGGGTTGATGAGGAGTTCGATTTGGCCTTAGGTTCGACGAATCAGTTGGGTCCAGATCCGGAAACGATGCAAAAACAAATCAAGCTAAAGGAATCCAAGATCGGCGGTTTTTTTGCCGGTTCTTCCCTCGTTTCCCCGCCGCCACCCAGCTCGGTTCCGGTCCCCGGTTTTCTGGGAAGAACCGCTAGGGCATCGCCGTAATTTTGCATACATCGTCGAAAAGCTGGATTTAGCTTCACTTCCATCGCAAAATCCGAATCCTGAGTTGAACATATTCTTCCTTTGTATTTTTTCCTGAAAGGAAGAATGTTGAGTGCAAGCCAAGGCAAAAGAGTAAGAGAAGCACTGTACTAGACTACCTGTACTTTCTCTTCTTCTCCGGCCGGGTAACCGTCTGATTATCGGAAGGAGGGAATTGGGTTTCGTGTTCTTGTTTTTCTTCAAGCTTAAGGTTAGTTAGAATGCGAAAATTGTTCCAAAACTCTTGGTTTCGAGCAAGATTTTCCAAAAAGATTAGAGGGTTTTCAGATTTCTATATGTACCGCCAACAATTTCGTTTTGGTTTAATGACCAACGATTTCGTCATATATTAACATTGTCGCAATCGTCTTTCGGTTGGGCCTCGGAATTGGACTTCGACTTAAAAAATGTAGATTGTAGTCGCCACCGATCATTTATTTAAAGATAAATGGGTTGATCGGATACCCTATTTCTTACCTGATCTGCGTCTTACCAGAAATGTGGCGGGCTCGGGAGTCGGTTACGGTCAAGGAAGGATTAGCACCCTTGAACCGCCCTTTCGGTACTACGTAATTTCCAGTTGTCTTAATTAAGAAAAATAACAAGTTAAATTAAAAGATAAAATAATGATCCAAAATTACTTACCTTTGACGGATTTACAAATATACCCTTTAAAAGTCAAAATATGAGTTAGAAGAGATGAATAAATGATAAATAAAGTAAAACAAATAAAATAAGGAGATTAAGTAAGAAATAAAATAAATATAAAATGAATAGAATATATAAAATAAAAAACAATAACACTAATATATGCACAGCAAACAACTAAATAAAAATAAAATGATAATGCAAATAAATAAATAAAACAAGTAAAAGAATATAAAAACATAAAATATAGGATAAATATAAAAATAGATAAATAAATGAGTAAAATATAAAAAAAAAAGTATATATATAAGTAAAATAATAATAATAATAAAAAAAGAAAATCAAAAGTAATATATATATACATGTAAAATAGGAAATATATAAATATATATATATATATAATAACACTAATAAAAAAATATACATATATAATAAAATTAATAGAAAGTAATATGCATATATAACAAGAATAATAAAGTAGGAAAAAAATGATTTAGGGGGGAGAATTAAATATTTTAAAAAAATGAACACGCCTCGGGGGTAGATCTAGGTTCGAAACTTCAAAATTCCACCCTTTTTTAGTCATCGGCGCAACCCACTTTTTGGGTTATTCGAACCAAATCTCAAGAAAAATAACGTGCACATGCGAGAAATGAACGAACCAATGTAAAAAAGATGCTACATTTTATTTCCTTTTCGAATCGTTTACAACAACTTTGCCTTTGTATTTTTCGTGCTTTCCTCTGTGTTTTGTGTGTAAATCGTGTCTTTAAATGGTGAGTTACAATGGCTATTTATAGTGCTTGTGGATCCTATCTTTAGGAATTTAAATAATAGTAGAACTCTATCCTATTTTTAGGAGTTTGAATCCTAGCAAAATTTTATCCTATTTTTAGGAGTTTGAATCCTAAAATTCTATCATATTTTTAGGAGTTTGAATCCTAGTATGACGAAAAATGTGTGTTGACAGCTGCCCCTCTTTGCCCATAGTCGTGTAACGGGGATAGGGCAAAGATTAAAAGACACACTTTTCGTTCAGTGGAGTTGAAAATTAACTCTGATGTTTCAATAACTCCCTGTCGAATTGAGTTACGGATGACTCCTCCATCGTGAAGTCGAGTTCATCTTGAAATGATATGAAATTAAAGCCGTAGTTCGGAATTTGAATCGGCACGTGGCTTCCCGTTACCCTTCGGTCTTCTTCTCGGTTTAAAGACCTTGGATCGGAATTGAACTCAGAAATCTTCATTGAC